ACACGAACTTTTTTTTCGGTAGGTAAAATTATTCTAAAACTTCTGTGAAAGGCACATAAGCTAGAATAATGAAATTTTGAAAAGAATGAAGTGGAAGGAATCAATCAGTCTCTCTGATTTTAAGACTTACTATATAGCTACAGTAGTCACTAGTTTGTGGGATCGGCAGAGAAGACACAGGTTGGTGGAACAGAATAGAGAACCCAGAAATAGACCCACACTAATATGCCCTACAGATTTTCAGCAAAGATGTGAACGCAGTTCAATGGAGAAAGGATAGGCTTTTCAACAAATTGTGCGGGAGCAACAGAACATCCGTAGGTTAAAAAAAAAAAAAATTACCCAAGTCTCATCTTAACACCAAAAAATCAATTTAGAGGTGCTCAAAGGGACCTTGACCCTTTGGTTCACATCCCTGTCCCACCTTTATAATTTTGTCAGGATGATATTGCAGACATGTAGGATGTGCACTAGAAACATCCTTGAGTGTACCGTTAAAGTTTTTTCAAAGTAGTTTTGAGCTAATTAAATTTGGACAATGCTCTCCTAAAGCCTGATTATTTATATTACTCTTTTTATAAAGCAAAGGAGGAAATCTTTGTTACCTAGTAGCCATCCCAGAAAACCCAAAGATAGTTTTAGGCATAAAAGACAGCTTTCATTGTCCAAATTTAAAGCATGATAAGGGAAAGACAAAGTTAAGAATTGTCTGATGAGATAGGACATGAATGTAAGTCCTACTTTTTTAAACACAAGATATATTTATTTTAAACAATATTTTAGAACCATAGCAATAAATAGTCATTTTTAGGGGTTTTTGAGGAAGGATCATTCAGGTGTTTACCAGAAGTACAGAGAGTTGACAGAATATGTTGGTGATAAAAAGCAAACTATTAGCATAGAATAACTTGAGCATTTTATAAAAAGCAAGCCCTGCTTGTTTTTTTATATCCAAGTAACATTTTTGTAGCAAAGGATTTATAAACCTGTTTTTTATGAATAAATCCACTAATATCGAATATACCTTTAATTTTTTTTGCCATGTATAGCTTATTTTAAGGTTTAAAATAGGATTAGAGTCTGTATTTTTTTTTTAAAGATTTTATTTATTTGACAGAGAGCGAGCACAAGTGTGCGCACAAGCAGGGGGAGCAGCAGAGGGAGAAGCAGACTCCCCGCTGAGCAGGGAGCCCGACATGGGGCTTGACATGGGGCTCCATCCCAGGATGCTGGGATCATGACCTGAGCTGAAGGCAGACGCTTAACCGACTGAGCCACCCAGGCGCCCCTAGAGTGTGTATTTCATCTATACATTTACTTGGAAATAATGTGTTTATTTTATTTTTTTAAAGATTTATTTATTTATTTTGAGAGAGTGAGAATGAGAGAGAGAGAGAGAGTACATGAGAGGGGGGAGGGTCAGAGGGAGAAGCAGGCCCCTCGCCGAGCAGGGAGCCCGATGCGGGACTCGATCCCGGAACTCCAGGATCATGACCTGAGCCAAAGTCAGATGCTTAACAGACTGAGCCACCCAGGTGCCCCACTATGTATAGACTTTTAAAGGTTCATTTTAATATTCATTTATATATATGTAGTTTTAGTATGTAGCTATGTTGTAGATAATAAAATTAAAGGCAGCATTACTTTTAAGATGTAATTAATCTGAATAGCATATTAAATAAACCATACATATATATATCTTTTTAAACTTAATATACCATGTGAATGCCCCCTGCCATTTAATATACCTCTAAAGCAGCATTTTAAATGTATTCAAAATATTCTATTATGCCTGTGTCATTATTTATCTATTTCTTTGTTGTTAGAGGCAGTTTAGCCAAGGTGGTTGAAAGCAAGGACTTTGGAACCAAACTGCTTTTTCTCTGACACTCTCTCAGCAGTAAAATGGGGGTGGTAATAATACATATCTCATAGGGTTGTTGTGAAGAATGTACGAGTTGATTTCTGTAAATCATTTGGAGCAGTGTCTGGCATGCAGTTATTATGTAAGTGTAATGATTTTTTTTTTTTTTTGCAGTAATGTTGAATGCAGCTTGATTGGAAAGAAAAATCATAGTGAAAGTTCATTTACTCATTCAACAAATATTCATTGGGTATCTACTCTGTGCCAGATTCTGTTCTGAGGTGCATCGGTAAACAAAACAAACACCCCTGTCCTTATAGAGTTTATATGCTAATAGGGAAAGAAAAATAATGAAAGATAAATACAGTAAATAGCATATTGAAAGGTGACAAGTACTATGGAAAAAGAAAATGAAGAAAAGGGGTAAGTGAAGAGTTATTGTGGTCAGTGAAGGCCTCATTGGGAAGATGACATTTGAGCAGAGTTAAAAAGTTTAGAAGTGGCTCTGGGGAGGGGCGCCTGGCTGGCTCAGTCGGTAGAGCCTGCAACTCTTGATCTCAGGGTCATGAGTTCAAGCCTCACATTGGGTGTGGAGCCTACTTCTAAATAAAGATTAAAAAGAAAAAAAGTGGCTCTGGGCAAACAGCCTTCTAGCAGAGGCCCTTAGTGAGTTGCTGAAGACTGCAGTGGAGCTGAGTGAGTAGGCGAGAGGAGGGGTGAGCGAGCTAATGGGGGCCAACCATAGAGGGCCATTGTAGGGACTTCGGCTTTGACTCTGAGTGAAATGGGGAACCTTCCAGGGTTTTTGAGCAGAAGAGTGATCTGAATTAACTTTAAAAGATTTCCCCAAGAATAGATTGTAAGGGACAAGGTGAGAGAGGAGTACCAACCAGACTGGGTGGGAGGTGGGGTAGCTGGGATCAGGGTGCTAGCAGAGGTGGTGAGAAGTGTAGAGTCAAAGAATTTAGGGAAATTAGCTTTCTTGTGTCCAAAAAAGGACAGTTTTGTGCTGATAGAATTGACAACTAATAGCTTAATGGTGAGTGAGGGGACAAAAAAACTCATTAAAAGAGTAAAATAAAAACAGGAGTTCCAGGAACCATCTCAATATAGGGACAAGTAGTAGTAAATGTAAATAATATAGGAACTCCTATATTACATTCTAAGACGACAATTCATGTTTATAGAAATGTCCCCAAGTCATCAAAATAAGTAAATTCCGCACGTTTTTAAAAGCAGATAGGTACATAGCTGAGGTTTTGTGTATGCAACTAATATTTTTCAGATAGTTTTAATCATTTGGTAAACCTGTGCGTATAGATTCCACCTACCTGACCAAAGTTCAAACAGTGTCTTGTTTTAATCTGCGCTAAAGAAGAATATGAAGTGGAATTGTTTTTTTGCTGCATTTTGATCTCCCTTCATTGCAATCACAGAGTGACTTTGTAGGTTTTTTTCTAGTTTTGTCCAGTGGGGAAAACCAAGGCCTCGTTGTGAGCTCCAGGCCACTACCTGGATGTCAGGAGCTGCTTTTCCCTTTTTCAGCTGCTTGCTGAAACTGAGACCTTTAGGAGTTCAGCACCTGCCAGAGGAAAGCAATCCAAGCATTCTAGAAACGTAATTTCCAAGCCAACTGCCTTATATGTGATGATAAGCTGTGAATGAAGAATCAAATTATTATATTCATTAAGATCTACTTATTAAGATAAAGTAGATCTTAGGCTAGTTTTGTTTTAAATGAGGATTTTAATGCTTAAGATAAAAGTTCATTTTGGTCACTTAAAAATTTAACAAAATAGGGATGCCTGGGTGGCACAGTTCGTTAAGCGTCTGCGTTCGGCTCAGGTCATGATCCCAGAGTCCTGGGATCGAGTCCCGCATCGGGCTCCTTGCTGAGCAGGAGCCTGCTTCTCCCTCTTCCTGCTGCTTCCCCTGCTTGTGCTTTCTCCCTCTCTCTCTGATAAATAAATAAATAAATAAAATCTTTAAAAAAATTAACAAAATAGAAAAACACTTCCTAATGATGCTGAATGAGTAAAAATACATTTGTATTTTATATGATATGAGTTATAGGGGAGAGATGTCTATGTGTCTGCAAAGGGAGAGTTCAGAATTTTCAGGCCTGTCTTGTCAAGCTGTGGGTATAACAGGAAAAAAATCTGTTAGGAAGCATAAATGTAGTTAACGGACTCATGGTTTGGAAGGCATCTATGGTAGAAAGAGACCTGAACTTAGAATCAGAAGGCTGGGACAATTTAATCACCTTGGGTGATCTATAAAATGGGGCCATTAATACCTGTAGATAGTAATACTTCATGGTTACTGTACCAAATGAAGGCAAAGTATTATTACTAATGCCATTAAGAATCTTAACTCCATGAATTGAAATAGTCTACCTTTTTCTCAGTGAAGTCAAGCCTTTTGTTTCCTGATTTGTGAATTGGACAGTTTCACAATGGTTTTAGAGACAGTAACTTCTTACCCTTTTAGTTATTTAGAGTCTAGGATCTTGTGAGTAACTTCTTGCTATGGTTACCAATAAATAGTTCTGGAAAGGCATTTATGCATTCATTTAACACATTTTACAGTAGTTGTATTCTTTATTTGTAACATCACTATCTCATTTTGGGTCATCCAAAAGGGGACTGGATAGGATTTGGTTGTAAGTAGTTTATTTGGGAGGTAGTCAGAGAAAGTTCTGTGGAGTGGGGAATGGAGGCAATAAAAAGTATGTAGAAGTGGATTACCCCTGAGAGCAACTGGGCTTTAATCCTGCAGGGAGGTCTCTGAGAGACTGTGTGGAACATGCTGTAGAATTGTCCGACTAAGGGCCAGGGGAGCCAGGTTTTTTATCCACTGTTGGTTGAGGGTCATTTGGAGGGTGTGAACTCCCTGGCACTTTGGGCCTGCCCCACACCGGGGCCTGCTCCTGTGACTAGGAAACATCCTTGGGCAGAGAGCTGTAGGCAGTGTAAGTGGTAGGTGTGGGGGCCAGGTAAGGCTGAGGGGACAAAGTTGCTTTCTTCTGAAACATTGTGTTACAAAGGCTGACCATATCCTGCAATAGAAAGCACAATTAATGTTGCTGACAAGTGGCAGACATCACACCTGTTTAATAGGCACTGTTTCTCCTTAGGATTTTCTGTTGCAGCAGACCATGCTACGAATTAAGGATCCTAAGAAGTCATTGGATTTTTATACTAGAGTTCTTGGAATGACGTAAGTAAACTATTTATTGGCGCCTGTAATGGTTAAACGCATAGCTTTGCAAATATAGGGAATGTTTCCGGATCCATTTAAAAAATGGATTAAACTTTTCTTCAAAAATCACAGAAGTCCTTTTGGCCCAGCGTCTGGGATTAGGCTCGCTGGCTGAGCACTTGGGTGTTCTCTTCCTCCCTTCTCTCTGAGAGCTGTTTAATCCTTAATGTGTTCAAATCCTTTTAATGTTATGTCCTCTTCTTTACTTTGGAAAAGATATAGTTATAAAGATGCATTACTTAGAAAATGAATGAGTTTACCTGAAATTGGCCATCTGTCTCATTTTTTATAGGGTGTATTCTCTTTTGCTGAACAGGTGATATCCACTGATCTTGTAATCCTTAAAGCATATTTGTTTATTTTTTATTTGTTTCCCTGAATAACATGAGGGGTTTTTGTTTGTTTCTGACAAGATAGATACATAAAGAATAAAATTAAATGATTTTATTTATTTATTTATTTATTTTTAAAGATTTTATTTATTTATTTGACAGAGAGAGAGACACAGCGAGAGAGGGAACACAGCAGGGGGAGTGGGGGAGGGAGAAGCAGGCTTCCTGCCGAGCAGGGAGCCTGATGTGGGGCTCGATCCCAGGACCCTGGGATCATGACCCGAGCCGAAGGCAGACGCTTAACGACTAAGCCACCCACGCGCCCCAAAATAAATGATTTTAAATTGACTGCCTGGATAACCTCCATTGACATTGAGAGAAAAATTCAAGTAATACAGTATATGTTTGTTTAGAAAATCTGACCAGTTCAGAAAAATACAAAATAAAAAGTGGCTGCCTTCCTTTCCCAGTCCTTGTCCCCAAAGATAACTGCTGTTAACAGTTTCTTACAGTTTTTTCCAGAAAAAGCAGTTTAGCAAATGTTTACAGCATATTTAAAAGACAGAGTGAAAACAAATACATTGTGGGGTACCTGGGTGGCTTAGTCGTTAAGCGTCTGCCTTCGGCTTAGATCAGGATCCCAGGGTCCTGGGATCGAGCCCCGCATCGGGCTCCCTGCTCCGTGGGAAGCCTGCTTCTCCCTCTCCCACTCCCCTTGCTTGTGTTCCCTCTCTCGCTGTGTCTCTCTCTCTGTCAAATAAATAAATAAAATCTTTAAAAAAAACCCAAAAAAACAAATACATTGAACACTCGGTATTTGCCAGGCACCTTACATATTTTTCATTCAGTCTCCACAGTAGCTCATGAAATAGTTTATTCCCCATTTTACAGATGAAGGAAGAAACCAAAGTTTAAAGACATTAAGTTACTGGGATCTGATTGACTCCAGTGTTGACCTTGTTTTTCAAGAGCCCCCAAACAGGGTATAACCTGACGTTATACTGAAAGATAACGCTCGCTGAGAAAAGCATGTTACAACAGGTTCATTTGCTCCAGTTCCCACCAGATTGGCGTGTAAGGCTTGTGCAGTCTGCTTTAGTAGGTGCAGAGATAGGTTTTCATGGCTGGAGTATTTGAGGTGTTCGATCCTTTATTATAAACATGTTAGGGTAAATCTTACTTGTGGAAAGTCAGTGCTGGTCTCAGTGGGCCAAGGTGTATTACATAGCGGTGATAGTTAAAAGATCTGAAATAGAGCTGAGAAACTTTCCATTTGCTAGGTAGGCTTCAGCTATTCTCTCTTATTATAAATAAGGTCATCTTTGGCATTTAGTCCTCAATAATCTAAATAAAACCGTATTGTATCCATCCTCATTTCTACCCTACTCTTTGCAAAATAATTTAAATTCACTTTATAGGGCATGACTTCAACTATTTTGGGGGGGGAGGGGCAGAGGGAGAGGGAGAGAGAGATTCTTAAGCAGGCTTCATGTCCAGTGTGGAGCCCCATGCAGGGCTCGATCTCCTGACCCTGAGATCATGACCTGAGCCGAAATCAAGAGTTGGACGCTTGACTGAGCCACCCAGGCACCTCTTCAACTATCTTTTTTAAAACTTTAGGATTGGTAATTCATTCACTCTTTGTCTCTTCTCAGTCTCTCCATTTCCACTGGCTCTTTTCCCTCAACCTACAAACAAGCTGAAACCTTTATTCTAGCATAATTCTTGCCCTCTTTCCCATTATCACCCATCGTCTATATAGGTCAACCGTGCTTGCTCACCTCCCCTTGTCTCCATCAGGGCGGTCCACCTTCTGCGGCCCCATGCTGCTAAAACTGCCCTCAGGACCATTCCGTATCTAGTCACCTGTTCACAGTCTTAATGCTGTGTAACCTTTCTGCAGTATCTCATATGGTTAACCACTGTATCGTTGACATTCACATCTTCTGGGATATTCATCTGTCTATCCTCACTTTCTTTTCCTAGGAGTTTTGGCATAGTATGATATTTTATTTAACTGAATGTCATATATCTGAAAGAACAATAAGGTAATGCATTGTATTTTTCACCAAAAATGGACAGAATTTTCTTCTGAAGATACCTTTTGCCATTTATAAACAAGTACCATAATTCCAGCTAAATTTCATTATGTTTGAAGAATTATAAGTTTGTTTTGTAAAAACTTTTTTATTTCACTGATATTTACAGTTGAATAGGTTTTTTTCAATGAGATATTTTCACCAATTTCCCCCTGCTCTTCCTAGTAAATAGGCTCATATTCTTAGAACTTGAATATTGTCATGTTGATTTTAATATGAATTTTAATATGAATATGTTTTAATAAAACAACCTCTCCTGTTGTTAATTGATTTCAGCTTGTTTAATTTCAGGCTACTCCAAAAATTAGATTTTCCCACTATGAAATTCTCACTGTATTTCTTGGCTTATGAGGAAAAAAATGACATCCCAAAAGATAAAGATGAAAAAGTAGCATGGGTATTCTCCAGGAAAGCTACCCTTGAACTGACACAGTGAGTATCAGTTTTTATCTTTCTGTACAGTCTACATTTTTATAAACCTTTTTTCCTTACTTACAAGCTTAATTCAAACCAGGTCTACCTAATCACTTTGCCTTTGTACCAGCTTGAGTCTTTTATGATGGATTTTTGGTCTTTGGTACTGTTCTGGTGCGTAGTTGGGGGCAAGTGAGATCATTATCTTTTGGATAGAGAATATAAGTAAGACAGAATTGGCCAGATAACTCCAAACAATAGCTAATGAATTTAGACACTACTAGAACTAAGGTCTTCATAATTCCAGCATTTTAGGAATGTTGTTTTTATTCTTTATGTTGTTTCTGTGTCCTTTGGAACAACTAACAAAAGAGCATTTATTGCAGGGTGTGTGATTTTAGTGTGTCCCTGATTCAGAACAGCTCTGGAATTAGACAGACCTAGACATGAGTGTTGGCTCTGATAACTCCGTGACCCTGAACGTGTTCTGTCACCCCCTTAAGTGGCAGTCTCCTTCATGAAATGGAGACTCGAATCGTAGCCCATGGAGCTGTTTGGAAGATTTAATGAGATCCTCAAACAAATAAATATCCTCTATAAAGTACAATAAATGACAGTTGCTACTATTATCGTTATTGTTATCCAGATGCCTGGATTTATCTCCTTAAGTCTAATTAAAATCATATCTTACACATTTGCCTTTTCTATAGTTGAAACCTTAATTTTACAGTAGCAAAGATGAAACCAAGTATATGAAGTTACATACATACATGCCAAGATTTCAAACAGATTATTGCTGTAGAGTATCTGTTCTATAGGTCACTTGTAATGCTCTTTTCCCTCCTTTTGTAGCAATTGGGGCACGGAAGATGATGAGACCCAGAGTTACCACAGTGGCAACTCAGACCCTCGAGGATTTGGTATGTTGGCCTGTTCCTATGTAGTATTCATGGATTTGTGTGATTTGTGCATTGGGTACTTATTAAGAATAATCAACTTCTTAGGAGTATAGCTGTTTTAATTTTCCATGAAAAATTTCATTTAGGAGTTAATGTCATAGTATCCATCTAAACCCTACATTTACTCTCTTACAATGATTTCACTTTTCAGTATCAGTATTATATTTCCAGTAGACTTTTTAATTAAAAAAAAAAGCTGTGGTTGATAATAACCCCCCATTTCTGCTAGCATACACTTCTGTCCTGATTTAGAACCTCTCAATCAAGATGACAGGATTGCAGGCTTAAATTGGCTGCTATATAGTCAGTGGCCACAACAAACCTGTTAAGTATGAGTAAATGATTACTTTTTCTTGGTAGTTATTCTTAACCGATTGAACTATACATGAGCCCAGTATTGGGCTTATTTTAAATAATTTATAACTCAGAGCTACTAATTAGCTTATTATACACAGCCAGTTAGACTTAGATTCTTGTTCTTTAATACAAGTTTTGAACTTACTTGATTCAGTCACTTTTCAGGTGCCTTAATGTTTTGAAATAAACTAGTTTTGGAAGCTAGTTGTGGCCCTTGGATACCCTGCAGTAATTATTTCTTCCTTCTGTCTGCCTTGTTTTGGGGGTGGCCACCTAAGGTCACATTGGAATTGCTGTTCCTGATGTACATGGTGCTTGTAAAAGATTTGAAGAGCTGGGAGTCAAATTTGTGAAGAAACCTGACGATGGTGAGTCTGCTGCTTGCTTTCTCCCGGCTTCTCCTCAGTTACATAACATTTACGAAACAACCACGTAGGCTACTGTTGTAGTCAGTCCCTCTGGTTGCAAGTAACTTTGAAGAAGTCCACTTCAGTCAGCATAAGGAAAACAGAGGAATGGAAAAATACCCAGGTATCTTAGGGAACTAAGACAGCAAGTTAGGGCTGCTTGACAAGGAACTAGACGCAGTCTGGAGAGCCATCAAAAACCTAGGCTCTCTCCCCACCCTTTGACCTTACCATATTCTCTGACTGGCCACTGGTTTTCACTATTTCAGGGTGTATCTAGCCACCCCAAAATAAGTTCCTTAAAGCCTATGTTATCTGATTTTAATATAATGGCATCACATCTCCTTAGTTAATAAATGGCTGGTCTCTGATATTTATTCTTCTACAACCTTTGCATGTCCTTATGTTTTAGGTGTATGTTTAGAAATAGTGTATATATCTAGATTTTGTTGGATTTACATGTATTATAATTATTCTATTAGATCTGTTTCTGCCAGCATATTATTTCAATTTTTATTTGAAACATTTCACATTTTATTTTAATCCTTTTCTTTTTTTCAATTAAGAGATTTGATATCCAGATACCCTCCCAGACCGGGATATTACTGATTAATTTTTCCTTTATCTTTGGCCTTGGCTTTTATTTATTTTATTTTTTATTTTTAAGTTATCTCTACACCCAACCTGGGGCTCAAACTTAGAGTCCCGAGTCAAGAGTTGCATGTTCTATTAACTGAGCCAGCCAGGTGCCCCCTGGCCTTGGTTTTTTTTTTTTTTCTTTAATATATATATCAAAGTCCTTTTCTCTGTGTATCTCTTGCAGCATCTTTTGGGTTTTTCTGTCCCTCTATTTAGTATCTCAACCAAAACTGTTTTCAGAGGGTTTTTTGTGAGGCAAAACTTTTGAGACTTTGTATGCCTCAGACCCATATCTTTGTATATGAATGGCAGTTTTGTTGAATATAAAATCTTAGGTTTATTCTCCTTTGATCTTGAAAATACAATTCCATGGTCTTATTTTTCTATCCGGTGTTGCTGTCGAAAAATCTGCTGCTTCAGGTTATCTTGACTGTTTTGTTCTGGAAGCTTTTGTTATATTTGTTATTTCTTTGTTCTTTGTAGGAGATTTCCTCACACTAGCATACCAGTTAGCTAATTTTTCCTCAAATGTATCTGTTCTGTTAGTCATCTTTTGTGTTATCTATTGTATTCTTAATTTCAGCTATTATAATTTTGATCCCTAGTTTTTGCTCAGTTCCTTAAATATTTTCTTGTTCTTGTTTCATATTGGTTATAGTTCATACTATTCATCACTTTTACATGTTTTAATAGCTCTTGGTCTGTTGGTTTAATATTTGTTCTTCTGTTTGAATCTATAATCCATTTGTTTTATGGTTACATTCCTCAAATTCTTGTTACTTTGAGGAGTTGTTGTCATTGCAACTCTTACTATTCTGGTGCATCAGGCAGTGTGAAAGGGGGGAGGTTAGACCCCAGTCTTTAACAGCCCCCATGCTCTCAGGAAGATGGGCCAGGCAGAGATCCCTAGGCCCCTGAAAACGAGAGTTAAACACCTTGCATTCTGCAGAACAGCTCTTCCGTCACATCTTCGTCCCCTCTGTCCCTCAGAGAGAAGGAGTCTTCGTAGGAGACACTTCCTTCTGAGATGCTCATTCCCTAACCCGGATTGTGTGGAAAGTGAAGGCTGGGAAGATCGGTTGGTTCTCACCTGTTTTTGTCAGTTCCTCACAGGCATAAGACTTCCGTACTGCCCTCATTTACTCTTGAGGACATCGGAACTAGTCATGTGAACCCCCCCAGTGTGGGGGCAGGAGCTGATGCCCAAGGCACTGGGAGGAGCAAGACCCAAAGTAACAAATCCCCTTCTGTTTATTCTCCCACAGCCATGATGGACTGCCTTCTGGTCCACGCCCAAACTACCCATTTCCACACGGACCAGGTTAAAACAGTCACCCCATCCCTTCTTCTTCCTTTCCCCAGTCATCACCCCAGTTCTCACTTTTTTTTTTTTCATTTTCCATATATGTTCCTCTGGGGTTGATCTTGGGGAAAAGAGCCAAAGAGAGATAGGAGTCAAACTAATTTAGCATCTTGGTCCCAAAATAGATTGCTGAGGTCACATTTTTCCATTTAAGCAAACAACTCTACTACTAGACCTACTAGCCTCTCAATCCCAGTTGTGAATTCCTGGGAGAAAGACTGATTGCAGCTTGAGTGACCTAGAATAGTTTTTAAAGAGTTCATTATGACCCAAGCCTCTGGGTCTTTTGGCTATGTGGGTATGCCATGCTACCTGCTCGAACACCTCCCTATTCTCTTTTCCTGTTTAAAGTAAGATAGCCTTGGGGTGCCTGGGTGGCTCAGTCAGTTAAGCATCTGACTTGGTTTTGCCCCAGGTCATGATCTCAGAGTCCTGGGATCAAGCCCTGCATCAGGCTTCATGCTTAGCATGGAGTCTACTTGAGATTCTCTCCCTCTCCCTCTGCCCCTCCCCCTGCTTGCACACATACTCTCTCTCTCAAATAATAAATAAAATCTTAAAAAAATAAAATAAGACAAGCTCTATGACTACTCAACAGGTAGCATGAAATGCATCATGAAGGTGAAGTAAAAATCTGATGCCTATAACTGCAGCCAGTTACAGAGTTTATTTCAGGAGAGCTGGTTCCTAGCTATGTGTAGAAGATACGTGTTAGTCATTCAGAAAAGCATGCATTTGGGCAACACTGACAATAGAATTATCTAAAGTTAAAATTGTAAACAAAATAATGTACTTTGTCAAAATGCAAATTAACATTTGGATTAATAAAAAATATTAATTTTAGGGGCACCTGGGTGCCTCAGTTGTTAAGCGTCTGCCTTCGGCTCAGGTCATGATCCCAGGGTCCTGGGATCGAGCCCTGCATCAGGCTCCCTGCTCCGCAG